GAGGACATTATGCTGAGTCTAATATCTCAGTCACAAAAGGACAAATACTGCATAGTGCCACTGTTGTAAAACAGGACTGACATCGGGGTTGGAGGGAGACTGAGAAAGATGGGATAAATTATTTATACTGCATTGAAACAGATGAGAGAGTGAACTGCTTAAAAGGTATATATGATTAGGTATTATTGTCATGACAGGAGTCCAGAACAAAGGCTGCATAGTGGAGTGGCCTCGAGGGGAGGGATTGTATAACAATGAAAGAATTATCTTTTACTTTTCAGAGAGAAAAACAAACTGGAGGGGAGGGATGGGCAGGGCGAAAAGTGCAATAATTAAATAAGGGAAATCCAAAAGCTCTGTAAATTTTCATTGAAATTAATAATAAAAAAAATATTTAGTATACCAACGAAGAAGTTAATTTTTTGCTTTTCAAAGAGAGGCGCGAACTGGGAGGAGGGGGGTAAAGAAAAACGTGCAACAAAGAATGAATGAAAATCCAAAATCTCTGTCAATGTTCATGAAAATAAAATTTAAAAAAGAAAGTTGTTCCTGAGTATGCCTAAGAATTTCCCACAAGAAGCCCTCCCTGGCCTGCCAAGTCCCGGCCCTGTGAGCTGGGGTCCCCTGAGCCCCCACCTTAGCAGCCTCGATAGCCGCAGCTGAGGCACTGAAGTCGTGGGCGGGCAGTGTGCTGAGCCACTGGGCCATGGAGCGCTCGCGCCGCTCCGTGTCCACGATGCTGGGGAAGATGTGGCACTCCTTGAAAGCGGCAATGGCGCCCTCCTCGGCCACCCAGTCCAGTGGCTCGTGTAGCCCGTCGCCCCCAAAGCGCTGGTTGTACTTGTCGAAGTGCACGCGCTCCAGCACCAGCCCCAGCCCGGGCGCCTTGGGCACATCCACCTTAGTGGGACCCCAGCTGCGTTCCAGCAGGCTCTCGGGGGCGTGGCCCCGGACGATGGCCACCACCAGGCCCACCATCTTGCGGATCTGGTGCATCATGAAGCTCTGGCCCTTGACGGTGATGATGGCGAACTCCAGACCCTCCCTCACGAAGGGCTGCCCACAATGCATCTCCAGGATGTAGCGCCGCGCACTCGGCTCCTGCGGCCCCTTCTGCGAGGTGAAGTTGTGGAAGTTGTGTGTGCCCCGGAAGCAGGCCAAGAGCCCGTTGACCTGCTGCAGTGTCTCAGGGCTCAGCCGGAAGCTCTCGTCCTGTGGGTCGCGGTCCTTGTGGGCAAAGGCGAAGGTGGGCAGCATATAGCAGTAGGTTCTGGCATCACACCTGTTCTTGGAGTTGAAGCCACCAGTGACGCGCTTCAGGCCTGGGAGAGACCAGGGGAGGGGGCAGGTCAGCAGTTCCGGGGGTGTCAGGAAGAATGCCAAGAGGACACGACCTGGACACCTAAACCCGAGAGGTGCTGCATCTCACGCAAAAACACACACACGACAGGCGTTAAAGTTTAAAAAGGTGATCCAAGTCAGAGGATCAGAGAGGACACACCGCAGGACCCCACGCTGAGAACACGGACCGGAATAGGGGAGGTACTTGGACGTGGCCAGGAGAGCTGAGTGTAGTCAGAGAATCAGAGAGCACATACCCACATGACCCCACACACAGGCAGGGGAGCACCGCAGAGATAGGGGGATGGGGGCATGGATCATGGCAGAAGTGGGGCAGGGGACAGAGCATGACCACATGGAGGGTGGGGACATGGACTGCATGGGGCAGAGGACAAAGCTTTACAATGTGAGGAAATGGGGCATGACCTGTGTAGGGGTTGAGGGTATAGCCCAACGAGGGCGCCTTGGAGGGGTGTGGGCATGGTCTGTGTGGGGCACGGCACAGCTGCAAGAAGGGTGGAGCACAGGCCATGTGGGACAAGGGACAGAGCACGGCCACATGAGGCAGAGGGCAGAGCAGAACCACGTGGGGGCCCAGGAGGATGGTCTGTAGGAGGCAGGGGATGGAGCCAGCCACATGGGGAGCCAGGGACATGGTCTACACGGGGTGTCAGGTAGAGCACAGCCACCTTGGGATTAGACGCACATCCATGTGGGGCAGGGGGCAGAGCATGGCAGGAGGCCTGCAGAGCCTTGGCTGTGCCACCCATGGTGCGGCTCGGCTTACCCAAGATCCGGATGTGAGATGGGAGGTGGCTGTTGATCTTCTCCAAAATGTCATCGATGAGCCACACCTTCAGGGACACCACCTGGCCAGCAGCAGATACCCCCTGCAAGGACACAGGCAGAGGGGACGCATTCAGCTAGGGTTCCCTCTGAGTCATCTGCCAGCAGAAGCCCACTCTGTGGAGTCCATCTCCCCTCAGTGGCCCCACAGGACACAGGGAACTACCCACGGGATTCGCGAGGCTACCAGTCTTCACCTTGGAGTGGCTGGTGGGCTTGAACAGCTGACCTTTCAGTTAGCAGCCCAACACTTAACCCACTGCACCGCCTGGGCCACACTTTGCACCTGGACAGAAACACTGGCAGCCCTGGTGGTGCCAGCAGAGTGAACAAGCAGTGCTGACTGAAAGGCTGGAGGTTCAAGGCCACCCAGAGGTGCCTCAGAACAAAGACCTAGTGATCCATTTGTGAAAAGTTGGCCACTAAGAAGGCCAAGATGCCTGGCTCTACTTGGACGCAGGCGGCATCCCCATGAGCTGGGGGTAAGGTGAGGGCTCCTGGTAGTGAGAAGACTTCACCTTGGCAGGTAGGAATGCTGCTTCTAGAAACACACGTGAAGTGAGTGCAGTGTGAGAACCAGGCTCCCTGTGCAGGGGGTGAGCACAGCACATGCTGTGAGAAAAAGTGCCAAGAGGGGTCACAGCCAACAAGCTCAGTGGGAATGAGAGGGCCAGGGAAACCCACCCCCACTGTCACGGGACTCAGAAAGGTGCAACTCAGGTGACAGAGCTAAAAACCACTGGAGGAAGCTCAGTGTCAGAGCTGTGGCCAGTAGGAGGCAGGCCAGGGCGGTAATAAACAGCCCGGTAAGCACAGCCAGTGCACAGCCAGGAAGCATGGCTACTGTCTGCACATCAGATAATCCTCCCCAGAGCGGCATTTAAAGGAGCCCTGATGGTACAACCTGCAGAGGTTTTCAAGAGAAAAAGATGAGGTAGCCTGCACCCAGAAAGACATATAGCTGCGGACACCCCGTGGGCAGCTCTACTTGGTCCCTCAGGATCACTGAGTTGGACCCGTATCACTGGCAATCAATTTGGTTTTCAGATTTTAAAGGGTTCCCAGGGTGGTGACGTTTAGGAATGATGCGATATGGACAGTACATGAGGGTGCTGTGGTGACTGCCCGAGCCACCAGAGCACACTGCATGCTGACATCTGTGGAACACGCATGTTTCTTGTGTTGCACTGAGGATATATAAGTGTTCTGGAAGTAGGAACAGAGACTCTGGCATGACACATGCCTGAGGGCACCTCGGATGTAGCTGCAGATGACCAACCATGACTGTGCAAGGACAAGGGAGGACAGACTGCACACAGTGCCCACGAGTTCCAGCTGTCCAGGTCTGTAGGCAGTGCCCTCTGAGTCACAAGCCATCTCTGCCCACCACAGTCACAGACCTAAGGTCCTACTCAGACTCACAGGTCCTACAAACGTGACATCTGACAGTTCTCCCCAGATCTCTGGCCCAGGGTCAGGCTTGGGAGGGGCAGGGAGGAGTCCTGGCATATTCCTTCTCACACTCATCTGTCTGCCTGGCCCCTCACCCCTAGACCTCAGGTCTGGTCCAGGAGCTCCATCTGGAACAAATAGACCTTCCAGCACCAAGCTACAAGCCACTATGGCCACCAGCATGAGATCGGCACACAGAAGCTAGAGCGTGGCTGTTAAGATACAAGACGGCCATAGGGGAGCTCTGGTGGGCTAGTGGCAAGGAGCTGCAACTACAATCCCAGAGGTGCACGGTTTGAATCCACCAGATGCTCTGCCGGGAAAGGAGGGACAATTTCCTCCTGTACCAGTCAGATCTGATTTGACGGTACACTCACATAAAAATAATAAAAAAAAAAAAAGATACAATACGGCCACAAACTCAACACAGAAAAAAGATGACCATAGTTTAGTGACGACTTCTTACATCAATCACACATCTAACGGGGGATCTTTAGACACAGTCAATTAAGCAAACAGGCTATTGAAAGTAAGGTGGTCAGCTTCCTTTCCCCACTGAATGTAGCTGCCAGGAAACTCACATCATGAGGTCAGCTGGCACAGCCTTCCATGAGCACACAGTGTCAGGATGGTGGGGATATCTATCATCAGGCAAGGAGGCAGGAGGGCCTATGGAGCCCATCTGTCCACAGAGAGCAATGGGGTCATGGAGGGAGAGAGCTGCAGTACCTTGTCTGTCCGTGCACACCGCTGAAAGGACATCTTCTTCATGTCCTCGCCATGGCTCTCGGGGATGCAGCCTGACCGCACGAGGGCGGACACCAGGTCGTCCTCGATCGTCCTGAACTGCGAGGATCCAACATTCCTCTGAAAGAAAGTGACTCGTCAGCTCTCAGTCCTTCACAGGTCTACACAACCACCCTGACCACTCATGTCAGAGCATGAGAAGCGGCCAGTGCGCATGCTCTAACCTTAGACCACTGCGGCCTGAGGCTGAGTGATGGCACCTGACAGCCTGTCCACAGACCAACTTGGAGGCCTGAGAGCAGCGTTGAGTGTTCACATCAGCCACACCAGGCAGGACCCCACCCCCATACCCCGGTCGTCTCACCAAGGACGCACAGGGAGAACTGAGAGCTGACTATAGAAAGGTAAACGCTGTCCACTTGAGAGGCCTGGGCACCAAGACCTTTAAGACAAGGACCAAATGAGGGTAGTCCCAGTGCCGGCAAGAAGTGAAGGGGTCCTGCTGCCACAGGCCCCACTCCCTTGGGTTCTGACACCCAGCTCAGTTGTCATGGAAACAAGAATCACCACTGGCTCCTTTCCTGACCTTCCTGAGTGTCACCGGGGACTGAGTCACCCAGCACACCTTGGGCCTCAAAGTGGGAAGCATGGTGAGCTCACGGCTCACCCAGAGGTACCTCAGAAGAAAGATCTGGCAACCTAATTCTGGAAAAAACAGAGCAGCTGACAGCTGCACGGAGCACAGTTCTACTGTGAAAGGTTGTGCGAACCCCAGTAATGAGCACTGGCACTAATTCTGCCCAGTTTACAGTGAAAAGATGGGTCCGGGTGGCTCAGTAGTTAAGCGAAAAGTCAGCAGTTAAAGCCACTGGCTGCTCTGAGAGAGATGAGACAGTCTGCTCACACGGAGCTCCAGCCTCGGGCACTGCGTGAGACGGTTCTATTCTGTCCTCCAGGGTTGCCATGACCCAGAACTGACTCCACAGCTGTGAGCTTGGTCTCTCAGTGGGTAAAGCCCTTAGCTGCTAACCAAAAGGCGGGCAGTTTGAACCCACTGCCAGCTGCTCTGACAGACGGATGTGACAGTGTGTCTCCTGAAGAGTCCAGCTGTGGCAATGCTTTAGGACAGGTCCACCCTGTCCGACAAGGTTCTGAGTCAGAATGGACTTGATGATGGGGTGTTTGGGTTTGCTGTTAAAGACGAGGAGAGGAAGGTGCAGAGACTTAGCCACCTGCTGAGGGCACTGCGTGGCTGGAGTGACAGGGCTTGGCAAGACGGCCTGCCCAGGGCTGTCCTGTGTGAAGCACTGCCCGCCCCCGCCCACTTTGCCTGCTGACCTGCATGCCATGGTAGCCCTTGCCGGAGTAAGCGAGCAGCAGCACCACCTTCCGCTTGGGCAGCTTTTTGCTTGGCTCCTCGTCCTCATTGCTCTTGAGCTTCTTTGCCTGAGGCGCTGTCTCTTCCCACACTCTAGCTCTGCGCTGCAGGCTCCGGGCCTTCTTGTCCTGCTCCGCCTGGGTCCCCATGGGAGCAGTGGCCTCCACGTTCTGGGACATGGAGTCTAAGCTGCAGGGACACAATGCAGAGTGTGAGCAAAGCCAAGTGGCACCCCCCCCCCCCCAGGGCGGACCAGCTGAACGGGAATGCCTCCCAACCCCTGCACCATGGTCAGCCGCCCTGCAGCAGTACGGGCCCCTGCTCGCCGCCTGAGAAGCGGGAGCACCCGCAAGACTTTACTCTCACAGCTATCAGAGAACTAGGAGGGGGCTGGCGTGCGAGCGAGAGGCTGGGCAGGGCGCCCCGCATGCAGCACGCGCGCGATGGGGTCCCCAAGTGCGGGCATCGATACCAGAAGCGGCGCAGTCCGAGGTGTGGGCTCTGGGTTCCGCAGGCTCTCCACAGGGCCGCGGCCACCACCCGCAGTCTGGGGATGCCCATGTACGGGCGAGGGAGCACTCGGGGTGCGTCTGACCCCTAACCTCTCTGCGCCTTCACGAACTCTGTCCTTCTTGCCACCAGCTGAGGTCCCTCCCTCTTCGCTTGTCAGAGCGCTCCCACGGCCCCAGGTTAACCTATGACGGCCTCCTGACCCCGTGGTTGACCTCCGACCTCACAGCCCTGCCTCCTCCTCCTCTCTCCACCCTCGCCCATTCCCTTCACGGGTCGGCTTTCTCGAGGAAGTGGGGTCACCCATGAAACCGGGTCGGGACAAGCGGGACGCGCCCTCTCTCGTCCCCACTCACGGAGCCGCAGCCTGAGCTGAAGCCGGACCACGTGGGCAAAGGAGGAAGTGCGGCGGAAAGTGGATGGCGGCCTAACTGGGACAAAGCTCCTCTGGGCGGAGAGTAGGCGGGCCCGACTCTCCGCCAACCGCAGGCGGCACAGGGGTCTTGTGAGCGTAAGGGGCTGGGCGGTACTAGGGCGGGGCCGCCAGCAAGGGTGGGCGGGGCTTCGCCCTCCGCTGCCTGTAGGCAACAGCGCGAGGTCCTATGAACGCGGAGGGAAGGGCGGTGCTTAGAGGCGCCCACGCCTCCGCATGTCTCTGGGGGCGTGACCTGGGCGTGGCTTCACTGACATTGTGTCTCAGGCGTGGTTTGTTGGGGGGCCGGGCCTCCTCACCCCACAGATTAGGCACCGCGTCTAGGGACGTAGGAGAGAAGTGGGCGGGGACTCCGCCGCACTCCGAGGCCCAGCGAGTGGGGCAGTGTCTCGGGGTGTGGCCAGGTCGGCCGCGCGTGGCTTATACAGGATGGGGCGTGGCTCTCCGCTGCTGGCCTTTGCAGGATTCTAGGGGCCAGTGCCTGGCCCGGCTCCCCATGGCAACGTCTGAGATAGTGAATGCAGCCAGGCACAGAATTCTGAGACAATCCCAACAGTTGGTAGTGCTGTTCCCAGGTTAGATCGTCCTGCCCTGAACCAGCGAGAATGTGTGTGTCTGTCCTCCTGCCTCTCCTGCCTTCTTTACAGACTCCTGCTTTGGAGTTCATCTCCCACATCTAGATCCTTCCTGAATTTCATCGGCAAAGCCTCTTTTTCTGTGTGGGATAATGTGTTCACAGGTTCCAGGAAATAGGCCGTGGCCATGTCTTTAAAAACCAAAGGTCTCAGAGTTTTTGGTAGACGTGGCGTGTTTAGCATCTAAACCAAAGGCCACTTTCTGGAAGTTCCAATCCACCGGCAGTTCCGCAGCCCCCAAGGGCCATTTATTTAGCTGCCCACAAACTAGAATCTAGTGAGGGGTTTAACTTTGTTGTCAAGGAAGGGCATTCCTGGCAGAGGGAAGGGCCAGTGCAAAGGCCTTTAGGCAGAAGGGTTGCACAGGCAGGCACCAAGGCAATAGCCCACCTAAGTCTGCAGTGAAATCCCAAAAGGACAGAAGACAGCAAGAGGCAATAGCAGAAGTGAGCTCTGGAGTCCTGGAGCCAGCTCTTGTGGACCTCAAGGGCCTGGGCATTACGGTGCCCTTACAGCTGTATCCCTTTCATTCATGTCAAGCCAAACTCACTGAGGCCAAGTCAGTTCCAGCTCATAGCAGCCCTCTACTGGGTTTCCAAGGAGGTCCACTGTTATCCCTCGGAACCCCTGCTGCACTTGAACCACTAGACCTGTGGCTTTTGGCCAGCAGCACAACACGCTATGAGCTACGTTACCTTAACTCTTTGGGCTCTACAGTGTACTCAGTCAGAACTAGCTTGTGACAGACTCTGCAGCAGGGCTTCAGGCTGTTAACTGTTACGGGAGGACGTTACCCGTTCTTTCCTCCTGCGGAGCCACTGGTGGACTCACCTTGGGGTTAGCAGCACAGCTAGCTAACTCACCAGAGCTCCTGGACTGGAGGGGCTTTTGGGGAAATGATGAGGATTTTGTAACGTACACTAAGTGCTTCTTGAGTTGGTTTCAATTCATAGCAACCCTATGTGTGCCAAACTACCCATTCCTGCCCATCCTAACAACTGCTGCGGTTTGGGCCACTGGTTGCATTTTTGGTGCTTTGCAGTCCATGCTGCTCCTCTTTCTACATCAGATCAACGTTTCGCTGCTCTTCACAGTCTACTTCTAGGCCCTTCCTCATACTGTGCCTTAATCTCTAAGTTCTACTAAGAACTGCCCACCATGACTGAGTCTGCTGGGACTAGAAGTACCAGACACATCACTTACCAGCATCCCAACACACAAGCCACCTGGAACGACAAACCGACAGATGTGTGGTGGATAAAAACATGTCCGTTTTTAAAAATGGCATCCTACAAGGCAACCATCAAAAGATCCTCTGCCATTCAATTCTATTCTGATGCATAGGGATCCTAATAGGCTAGCACGGAACTGGCCAAAAATGTCCAACACTATAATCTTTATAAGCCCAGACTGACACCTTTCTCCCATGGACTGGCTAGCAGGATGGAAACACCAATCTTTTATTAGCAGCCAAGTGCTCTTTATCAGCAAAGTACACCCAATTTTTTAAAAAAAGCTGGCAGAGGATCTCAATAGACATTTCTCCAAGAATCTACAAATGGCCAAAAGCCAAGCACCTGAACCTATGCTCAAAGAGATACCAGCCACTCAGATGGTCAACACCAAAGCAAACCCAGAGGAAAACAATGCTGGTGGGCATCTCGAGAAACTGGATCACAATTGGACAACCTGGCATTGCTGAAGTGAACGTGTGCAGACACTCTGGGAAGTGACAGTTCCAGCATGGCCCAGCTGTTCCACTGCAGACACAGGGGAGGTGAAAGCTGAGTCCTCGGCAGCCCACCCCAAGCCCCGTCTGCCCTCAGCTCAATGCGGGCCTCTCTCCTGGAACAGGGCATGGGTAGCAGGGACACAGGGGTTCGACAGGCCTCAGGTCTCAGCACTTTAGGAGTAAAGTCACCCCGCTTTCCCAGGCCCCACGCTGCTGGAGGGTCACAGGGGAAGAGACCAACACCAGTTCAACAATTCCAAAGGTTTATTTCCATAAATGGGTGTAACACAATTTAAAGCAAAAGGGGAGAAAACCCACACAAATCCTGTTCGACAGACCAGGACCCAAGAGCACTCCCAGCGGTGGTAAATACGCTGTTTCAGAAGCTCTTGTCTGTAAACACACCCCACGCAGCCGGCAATCATGGGTGAGGGCAGACCTGGCCGAGCGCTCCTTCCAGTCCAAGCGCAGGGCACCGTTTCAAGTATTGGAAAGAAAAATATCTGATATATATATATGTATATATATATATATATATATATATATATATATATATATATACATATATATATATATATATATATATATATATATATATATATACACACACACACACATATACTTTTGTTTGTACCCCAGGTACCTCTGCCCCATGGCTGGGCACACTACAGACGACTCAGGACAATTCAGATGATCTGGATCAAGGAGGCCAAGGGGTCCTGGATGCCGGAAGGTGGGCCTTGCCCGAGCCAAGATCCCTGGCCCCAGAGGGAGGTCCAGCCACCGGGGCACAAACACAGTCTGTCAGTGATTGAGGCCGAGGGCTCACGCACACATACACAACCTCCACTGCCCCCATGGTCTGAGGGCGAGCTTGGGCCAAGAAGGACTGCTGGGTAGGAGGAAATTCAGACATACCTCACATCGGAGGGCCAAGAACCAGGGCCCCTTGTCCTGTCCTGCCCCCACCTTCCCCAAGCACTCCTGAACACCAACACATTTTCTTAAAAAAAATAAGATAGAAACAACAAAGCGGCTGCAGGAAAACAAAACCTGCTTTAGACTCAATGTGAGGGGCTGCCCATCCTGGGCAGTAAAAGCTGTGTCTGTATGTTAACTGTCCTCACACAACACAGAGTGACATGACTGCGTCCTTCCTCTGGGAAGAAAGGGTTCGTGTTGGCAGCCGGACACGCGCACACACACACACTATTTATATATGTACGTATTTATATGGCTATATACACACCCCTGTAGTGCAACACCAGGAACAAAGGCCACGCCCCCGCGGCCCCTGTTGAACCCAGCTTCTACCTGCATAAAGTGCTTGTGAATTACATAGCTGGTGGGTGGGCTCAGGTCCCAGGAGTGGCACCAGGGCAGCTTGCTGGAGCCCAGGACAGCACCTTTGGCTTCCAGTGGGCTGTACAGTCAGCATGGCCTCGCTGGACCCTGCCCGACAGTGGACAGGCCTGCCCAGGATTTCTGCACTGCCCTGTATCCTCTCATCAGAGGGGGCAGCCAGAATGCAGGCTCGGAGGGGCTGCTTCTACCCATTGGGCACAGTTCTTAGCTGTGAGCTCTGAAGTTTCTGGACAGACCACCTGGCAGGGGAAGGTCTGCGTTGCCCTTCCTGGTGCCCTGTGGTCACTGCCAGGCAGGAGCCAGCAGCAGCAGCCCTCAGTGGAGAAAGGGGCAGGTGGACCTGTGTGTGTCCAGTCCCTCTACCCGGTCCTGTGGAGTCAAGGCCCACAGGCTCATCCAGACCAGTCCAGCCGGTGTCCACCCATCAGCGCCTCACACAGAAGCCAGTCAGGAGGGCTGAGAGTCTCCGCTCGATGCACAGCTTACCTGCAGGGGAGAGGAGTGTCAGGGCAGGGGGCAGGGACAAGAATGGGGCCGTGCCCACCGGCCCAGTGCACTCACACTTGGCAATGTTTTCCACGTCCGTCTGGTCTGTGAGGATCTGCTGCAGCCCCTCCATGAGCAGCAGGGCCTTGTGGTAGCGCTGCACACAGTCCTCCCGGTGGTGGAACATCTCATCCAGCGCTGCTGACTGCACCTACAGGGAGGGGTCTGCTCAGCCCGAACCCCGATGCCCGGCTCCCCTTCCTGCCCAGACCCCAACCCAGCTGGCCCGTACCATCTGCACAGCATAGCTGAAGATGAGCTTCTCTGCCGTGATGCTGTGCACACGGTCCATGAGCCGCTGCTTGTCCACGAAGAACCTCTGCAGCCGCAGGCTCAGGCTCTGGCAGGACAGCACGCTCGACTTGTACAGCTCGTTCAGCTTGCGGACCACTGCAGACAGGACAGCCCTCAATCATGGCAGGACAACGGCAGGGCGCCATGGCACTGCCCCCCACCGCAGCGAGCCACCCCGAAGCCAGTTGGCACACAGCACCCTCCTCCCGCCCACCCTGGGAGCAGAGGGCAGAGCAAAGTGCGAGGCACTGTTCAACCTTTGGGAGGCCCAGACCCACAAGCTCAGGGTTAGGCCAAGGTAGGAGGACCTTCTGTCAGCAGGGCAGTCAATGAGGTCACGAAGCCTAGTCCCTGGCTCACTGGACCCAAAACATGTTCCTGCACAGTTAGTGGCCTCCCGACACACTTCTGCTCACCCTCCCCAGAAGCCCAGCCTCAGGCCACAGCACATCTCGTGAAGTGTCCTTGAGCGTGTGCCTGTTCCAGTGGAGACCCATGCAGTGTGCAACCATCTCGCCACCACTCACCCTGCTTCACGGTGGACGACAGGCAGAGCTTGCCTGCCCGGATCTGCTCAATGGCCGTCTGCAGTCCCGCAGACAATAGCTCGGCCACCTTGAGGTACAGCACCAGCTGCTCTGCAAAGCTGGGGGTGGTGGCGTGTTAGAGAGCCCTCATGATGCTCCCCACATTCCCCAAGGTCCCCACCCCATCCCAGCCCGAGAATAGATCCCCCCTTAGGTACGGCACTAGCTGCTCTGCAAGGCTGGGAGAGGGGCATATCAAGAAGGGCGCCTCATCACCCCGTCCAGAGCCGGGCTCCCATCGCTGCCCCTGTACCCCCGTCCCGTAGTCAGTGCACCTCCACTCGCGGCTCAGCTGGCTGATCTGGTCAGCTACCAGGCTCTCCTGCAGTTGGTACTCGGGGCCAACGGCCACTTCCCCAGCGCTGCCCTTCAGGGCAGCGATCTCCAACACATGCTGGACGAAGGCCAGCGTGAAGCGTAGCCCATGCAGCGTCTCTGTGTGCTCTTGCTGGGGACATGGACAGGCGCAGAGAATCAGGACCCTACCATGCTCTACCAGAGTCCCTTCCCCTGTCACAAGCCTCCCCGCCTTCCCATCCCGTGCCAGCACTCGCCTCCATGAGGGTCTCCTCAGGCAGGTCAGGGGCCTCAAAGGTCACAACTCCTTCCAGGTTTGCAGCAATGGGGTCAGCAAAGCTACAGCAGTGTCCTGGGATGGGGGGTTCAGTGGCGGTACCCTCATTACAGGCCCCGGGCAGGAGATGGCGGCCAGAGGAGGACCCGGCTGAGCTGAGGGAACCTGAAGAACCCACTGTGGGAAATGCCACCATTTGGGGACCTGAGGAGCCCACTGTGGAAGACGCCAGTGTGACAAGCCCATGGTATGACATCCCCACGTGGAGACCTAAGCAGCCCACTATGAATGGTCCCACAAGGGAAGCTGAGGAGCCCATGTGGGAGGTGCTACCATTAGGGGTGCACAGAACAGGTTAGAGCTCAGATGGCCTCCTACCCGCCAGCCCTCTTCATCCGACAGGGCCCAATCAGCCCTGACACGAAGGCAGGAGAGTGGAGGAGCGAACAAGTGGACATGAGACCCAGCACCCTCCTGATGCCCACCACAGAGGCCTCACCTGAGAACATGCGTGTACGATGGCCCTGAGGTGGCGTGGTCCCACTTGGGGGGGAGCCCACGGTGAACACCACAGGGGAGGGGCTGCTGGCGCCCCCAGCACGGGCCCCGGGGTGTAGGTTTCCTCCAAAGCCAGTGGAGGGAGCTGGAAGACAAGAGTGGCCGAGGTCACTGGGCCCCCATGCCAGTACCAGGAGCCCCAGTGGTCCTGAGCACCTACCTATCTCCATGGGCTTCTCCTGCAAGCTGTCGGTGCTGCCCGAGTCTGGGGCCTGTGTGCCGAAGGCTGCCTTCAGGAGCAGGTCGGTGAGGCGGCCGGTGCTCAGGGACCTTTGGAGTAGAATGCAGGGACCTGAAGGGCTAGACCAGAGCTGATGCTCTCACCTGCACGACCCACACAGCCATCCAATGCCTAGAAGCAGGTACCTTGGCGGCTACCTCATCACATGCCTGCCCCCACTCCCTTATTCTTCTACTCACCTGCCGAAAGGGCCCTTGGCCTCCTCAGGCGGCCGCAGCCCAGAGCCCAGCGGCTGTGCCTGGAAGGGCCCGCCCTCCGTCAGGTCGGGGAGCGTGAGGTTCCGAGGGGGTGCCACCACCACACCCTGGCGGGCCAAGAGGGCTAACAGGTTCTGGGAGCTGGGTGTCTTGGGGAAGTCAAAGGATGGGCCGGCCTGAAGGAAAAGATGGGGTGACAGTTACATCACAGCTCCCGACTCAGAGCCCAACAGTTGCCACAGTGAATTAAGACCCTGCACAAGAGCTGGAGGATGGCTTAAAGAGCTGG